ATTGACAAATAGTGAACCACTGCAACAGAAACAAATCACTATGAAAGTATAAAAAATCAATATCAAAAATCCATTTTTTATATAAAAACTACTAGCAATACGCACATACTAATAAATTGTAGGGACTTTGCCGAGGTCCATTAAAATACTATCAAACAACCAACATGAAAGAACCCTTTTATAATATTAAGGCATATAATATCCTAAAATGTCTTAAATCAAACTGTATTCCAAAATATAACTCCAACAAAACTACAACATAAAACACACATATGAACCCCTCTATATGCACAAAAGCTGCGTATCATCTACCATGTATTCAACTGTGAAAGCAGAATAACAAATATCATATTTTTATTACTCCCAAGAAAAATAAATTTCAACATGAAATGACACATAAGGAGTTGATATGTTTCTATGTACAGTATTTTCTCCAAATCTTATATATACGTATGACCTTTCTTTTCAGTATTTATCTCTATTCATAACTAATTATCTATGGGGCACACCAACGTGTTGCAATGGTTAACAAGCTTGTCTCGCTAGAATAATTACGACGGATTAGTGAGTTCGAGCTATACTGGGTTCCCTATACTTTCGGCCTTGTGCCACACATCTAAGCTACGCTTAGAAAACCACCATATCTAAATATCTATGTTTGAGTCACTTTAACTATATTACATGTATAGAGATGCAAGAGAAGTTTTACCGGAGGGGGAAAATATGCATTGCACAAATCTTGTTAGTCGCTGACAAGAAATATCAACATTACACTAGTAGGTTAACCGAAGTTGAATAATTGGACCCAAACAGACATAAGCCCAAACAGACATTAGCAATCGATGCGGTTGGCTTTTTGGTTTTGAGGTCGATATTTGAGGGAGATTTTTTTTTTTCACAAGCAAGTTATTGATTTATTATATTCTTTCGTAAGAGACCGACTACAAATTTGGTTAACAGAGAAATAAATTAATTTCAAGAGCTTTTTCCGGGCGATTGATGTGGTTTCGGAAATCATAGGGCGGACCTGGTAGAATTCATTCATTGAACTTCATTAATCCTGGTTTATGTAAGGGAAGCGGCCGGATAAAACCCCTAAGATGAAAACTATGCAAAGTTACGAACTTACAGACAATATTTAGTTGTCATATTAATACTGGATGTGAAAATAGTGGGACGGTTAATAACTTGGAAAGAGAAACCGCTTCCCGGTTAAATTAATTACGTTATCTTTCACACAAACAGCTTATGGAAATGTATGAATCTATTACTTTTCCCGCAGCTATAAGCTAAATAGCAGAGATTACCGGACACGGTTGGTAACCAGTCTAGAGATGACACTGGACATGGTTAGTAACCAGTCTAGAACTAGGTAAAGTTTTACTTCAAAAGAAGTTGGTGGGCTAGCTGACTAATGGAATTTCTTCTGCCTGCCATGTCGAATGTTGGTGGTTCGATAAAAAAAAAACTACACCCTATTCGGTGATGTTCCATTTGAGAATTTTTAATATAAGGTTGGGTTGGTCTTATGCCGGAAAAAAAGTGTGTTGAAGAAAAAATATTATGAACCATTCATTTGCCATTTAGCAAGCGCGTTTGCGCCGCTGCTGTGGTCATCACTTTCCTCCATCTTACAATTGTTGGTCATGTGACCTGAAACGCAAAGTAGTGCAATGGCTTTCGGTTACTTTTGTGTTGGGGAGGAGGTTGAGCTTAACACGTTCCTCTTCTCGGGAGATAGAAACAGCACTGCAAGGAAGCATTACAAGGTAGCAAGTGGTTTGAATTCAAAGTTTTCTCTCTCCTAGAATGGGTGCCAACCAAGGCTATAGGACCCAGTCTGTCCTGTTATTTTACCCATAGCTTGGGGCAAGAAATGGATTCATACATTTCCCAATGCTACCCCCCCCAAAAGAAATAACTAAGCAAAGGGACAACGATAGCAACTTTTTTTAGTCACCTTAATGCAAATATTTGTCACACATTAGAAAGTAATGAGAGGAGAATACTCATTGCCCAAATACGTGCTCATATAAGTGTCTACGGCTTATCATGATTATAAACACAAATCTTATTCTTCTATATGCCGCGTCCCTTCAGGACACAGGCGCTCATGGTCCTCCACATCTTCTTCTCCCTTGTAGCTCATAGCAATTTTTGTCGTTTTGCTATATTTCTTAATACCTGTCCAACCAACCATTTACACAAGCATGTTAAGTAGGTTATTCCATGCTTTCCCCTGTCACTTAAACATCTCCTGTGAGTGTTGAATTTCCCAAGCCCTCTTTCCTCATTATATCCTCGATAATTTTCAGTTGTCTCCTTCTGATTCTAAGTATAGGTTTCCTTTTTGTTTCTATTTTCTCTAAAACGTTGTCATATGTTCCGACCATGATATTCTCAGCATCCTTCTGTAGAACCACATCTCCGTTAACTCAAATCTCTTCTTCATCTGTGAGTAAATTGTGCCGAATACACTAGCATATTATATTACTATAATATTACTGTAATATTACAATATCGAGGACCGATATTACATAATAGTCCAGTACACGAATACACATTTTATAAATATAAGTATATAAAATCCTAAGCACACATACACACGTCAAAACATTTCAGTTGGAATAAAATGCATTTACAGGATGCCGATAGAGAAAAGAAGATCTAGATTTATTTATGTATAATACGCATTTTGCCGCTAAAGTTGCGTTGCGTGCTTTTCCCGACCAATTGTGACGCTATATTCTGAATAGTATGACCTAGAATAAAATATATCAATAGGACAAAGCAATTAAAGCGTACCGAAGAGATTAAATCAGCACTAACTAAACACATTATTTCTTAAGATAAATCTGAATATAGACTGACAGGTCCGCCTATGAAACACCTGGAATCGGGCTGCTGGAGGTAACATCAATCATCTATGCGACAAACCTATATATATATATATATATATATATATATATATATATATATATATATATTATAGCCATAGGATATAAATATAAGTGTTTAAGCCTTTTATATTATATTCTTGCTCTGTCCGGGACGTTGAGCTCTACCTGGATTCTATCCTCTTGGAAATTTGTATCTATCTATCTATATCTCTCTCTCTCTCTCTCTCTCTATATATATATATATATATATATATATATATATATATATATATATATATATATATATATAAATTTAATTTAAACTAAAATAGCAGACACCCTTAAGGGTCCATTGTTTATATTTTATTTTCGTGGGTAAATGATTTTTCCTGGTTCCTCAAATCACATTTCCAAGCATAAAAAAAGGTTTAAAATTTACATATTATTTTCATAAAAGCTTTTGAGGGGTAGTTTTAAGATGATGTAAGGTTATAGAGAGAGGGGGGGAGGTGGACGACGACAGATATGGTCAAAATTAGAGAAGCAAGGGAGAGATAGGAATAATTTTAAGTCTGTTTTTATGAAAATACTTAAGAGTAAGGGATGGGGGTAAGGACTAGACATTGATGCATTTAATAAGTCATCTCACAGGAAAAGAGACAAAGGGAAAAGAAAGATATAAAAGAAAGCATAAGGGGAAGCCGGTTTGGGAGAAAAAATGAAGAAAGAAGAAAAGGAAGAATAAATTAATATATATAGGTTATACAGAGTGGCTATACGGACATGAAACAAAAATATCCACTGTCAAAGATCATATTTTGTTATTTTGACAATAACGGTCACGGAATCGCAGATCATAAGTTCAAGATGCGCTTCTATGACGTCACACCACTCTGAGGATGGCTTATGTGAGCCGAAAGCTTAAGACCAACTTAATAAGCAAATATACAAATGTTATGACAATTTTTGTCTTTATTTTCACCAGAAATTAAAGCAAACATTCTAACTTTAGAACGGCTCATGATCAGACATGATATTCATTATCTGTTATATTTAATAATATATGTTTGAATATATATATATATATATATATATATATAAATATATATATATATATTCAAACATATATTATTAAATATATGTTTGAATATATATATATGTGTGTGTGTGTGTGAAATGTTTGTTCACATCCATCCATACATTTGATATCAGTTTATCTATCTATCTATCTATCTATTCTATTCTATTCTATCTGTTTATGCATATCTGGTGGGCTTTGTTCTATATTGTCTAATTTATTCGCAAAATATTCAGCAAAATCCCCTAGACGCAGAATCGCATAAATTTCGACGATAAATATATATGCACATATATACGTCATGCATATATACGCACTCACACACGCACAAACATACATACACACCCACACACGCACAAAAATGAAGATTGTGCCAAGTCAACTTTAGTATGCATCACTCAGCCAAAAATATATCCTGAGTTCATTTTGGGGAAAAAGCAATGAAAAGAATAAGAATAATTTAAAAATAACATGGAATAAAAATCCTGAAAACAAAATAATTCTTTTCATTATTTATAGCCTCTTGTCTGGGTGGTAAGGAGTTTGACGTACCCACACACGCAGGACATACCCCTCGAAAATAACATATGCATACGCCAATACTTCAGTCGTGGTTTCTCTTTCTTTTCTTCTCTCTCCTCTTTCTCTTTATCTCTCTCCCCATCTCTCACCCTTTTTGTAACATTCTCTTTCTCTTTCTCTTCTTTGTTTGTTTCTTATCTCATAAATTCCAGACGATAGTGGATTTATGAGACAGATTCGAATTCCAAACTCTCCTGTCCCTAATCATTCTAATTGCGGATTCACCTCTTCCTGTAGGACCCTACCCCTAAATAAGAGCTATTTCCGGCAGCCTCGTTTTCGGGCAGACTGCAATGGGATCCAGTCGTCTGCTGTTTTTATTGGTTTTATTTGAGAGGCTTAACTAGAGATGAAGGCAGACGCTATAAATTAAAACAAAGAATGAAAAAAAAAAGACAGAATTGAACAACATTTAGAAATATAGAATGAAATATAGTGAGATTTAAAAGAAAATCGAAACGTTAGGCGTAAAATAAATGTCCGAAATGAACAGAGGTGCGGAATAAGAAAAAAAAAATGAAAAAGAAAGAAAGAAAGAAAGAAAGAAAGAAAAAAAGAAATAAAGACACAAAGAAACAAAGAAACACAGGAGAATTGCGTCTTACTGGTTCTATTTCTTTTTAAGGTGAAAAATTAAGAAAGAAAGAAAGAAAGAAAGAAAGAAAGAAAGAAAAAAGAAAGACAAAATAAAGAGAAAAAGAGTTAAAGCCACAATAAGATATTAAAGAAAGAATGAATGAAAGAATGAGTCATAACCCGAATTATAAAATTTAAAAAGAAAGAAAGAAATAAAGAAAGAAAGAAGGAAGGAAGGAAGAAAAGAAAACTGTTGTAACCGGAATAATGAAATGTTTGAGAAAGAAAGAAAGAAAGAAAGAAAAAAAAAAAAAGAAAGAAAGAAAAAAAAAGAAAGAAAGAAAAAAAAAGAAAGAAAAGAAAGGGTTAAATCCAGAATAATAAAATAAGAAAAAAGAAAGAGAGAATGAATGAAAGAAAGAAAAAAGAAAGAAAATACTATTAATCAGAATAATCACTTATTCAAGAAAGGAAGAAAGAAAACCGAAAATCAATGAAAAAAAATAACAAGACAAGCAATATAAGACAACTTGAATAAAGAAGGAAAAACGCAACTAAAGAAGAAAGAATGAAAGGAAGAATATGCAACGATAGGAAGAAAGAAAAAAGTACGATAAAAGAAATGTGAAGAAAGAGGAAAAAAGAATGAGAGTGAAGGCCATAAGAAAGAAAAAAGATAACGATGAATGTTATGACCAAGCACGAGAAAAACAATTATCCCAAATCTCCTGTGTGCCAATATACGATTCAGGAGTTTTAAATCTCCTGCTCATTTTGTACAACTGTCATTGAAGGCTTAGATCCTGACTTAGAGTTGATGTTATGCGAGAGATATGTGGCCGAGAGCCAAGCAACCATTTTTATTCTCCTATTCACTGGAATAAAAACGATTAATTTGCCGAATCAGAGAAATCCAAGAACGTCTTCAATAAATTGGCTTGCAGTAATTAAATTTGGAACATTTGAAGTTTCTTTCTTTGATATGAAAATGATTACTTGCCGCTGAAAATGAAAGAATTAAAGCCCCCCCCATTCTTCTCTTTCTTTATGTCCGTATACATTCAGGACGCAGGCGATCATGGTTCTCCACAATTCCCTGTCGTCCGTAGATCTTAATAAATGTTGTCTCCTTGTTATTTCTCCTAAACCTTGTTCATTCATTCATTTACTTAAGTTCACTAAGTATTTTATGCGTTGTTTTCATCTGTCCCTGTTGCATTCAATCTGTCCTGTGAGTATCAGATTTTCCAAGACCTCTTTCCTCTTTATGGGCTCTAGAAATTTCTTTCTCTTCTTGATATATATATATATATATATATATATATACCCTACACAAACACAAATCTGCCACGGGTGGCATGCCACTAACGCTTAACAGTGGTGGCCCACTGACAGATCGTCGGAGTGTTCGTCTCGGCAGTGTTACCACGCGCGAACCACTAGTATCCCACCGTTGGCTCGCCAGTGGCCTTACTGTGGTTGCCACCAGAGGACCGCCAGCGTTACCATCGGTCTACTAGCGTCTTGCGCGTGGATATATATATATATATATATATATATATATATATATATATATATATATATATATATATATATATCAAATGAGAGAGGGATAGATTCATACATTCATACATATATACATACATAGATATTACTGTAAACGTTATGTTTAAAGGGTAAATGCTATTTAGTAGATACTTTTGTTTTTTAAACAGTGAAATGCATCTTTAACTTCCTAGAACTCGAGATGTTTTATTGAAGAAAATGGTGTGGCCGACAGGAATCGAAAGAGTATTGCCTTTTAAATTGGGAAATCGGCATTATACAGATATGATTCCTATTAGGAAGGACATTATATGCACTAGTAATTTCGAACACAGCAGAAAGAAAACATATATATATATCCAAGCACACGTACCCACTAATATATATCTATATATATATATATATATATATATATATATATATATGTGTGTGTGTGTGTGTGTGTGTGTGTGTGTGTGATCCTAATGTACAGCCAGTTAGATCAGGAATCTAGGACGCCCATGGTTAAGATACAAAGACAAGCTGAAGAGCAACTTGTCAGCTGTCAATAATACATCATAACACCCTCGAGCGCTTAGCCTTGGAGCGGGTACAATGGAGATCAACGTTTTTAATTGGACTCAGCAGTTTTCGCTCTGCTAGTCTGAATCATTTTCAAAAAGCGAGAACTAGATCTAAAAGATCAGCCAATCTAACAGTGATCTCATCGCCCAATCCTCACTCTTACTCCATATGCAGCCTCCTTTGTAAGTCACTACCACTTAAGATTACCGCACAAAATTTCATAACTGAATCAAATGGTTAAGTTGTCAGATCCTCATACGTCGAAACCGACGAGAGAGTCCATTATATATATATATATATATATATATATATATATATATATATATATATATATATATATATATATAATGTTCATAATATGAAATAGTGTCGGTTAAAAGATACATTAATTTCTAAATTTTTTATCGCACACATCCACATATTTTTTCTGTAATTATATTCTAATAAGCTCGTTGTATTACTCAAAATAAATATTACTTTCTTCGTTGGTACGTTCTTTACGAATTAGTTCTTTACTTTCTTTAATTTACGAATTAGTTCTTTACGAATAAGTATTAGAGCAGTACTTGATTGGCAATTAGGTCTCATCATTTTACCGCTGAAATGGCTCGATTTAACCGTAAATTTTATGTAAATAGTTTCCTCTCTCTCTCATTTGTTTGCTTGTGAAACTCCTCTTTAATGGTAATCTCAATCGTTACTTTCTGTTTTCTTTATTGTTAATGTTATCTTCTTCTTCTCTCTTCTTAATAATGTTTTTCTTTTTCTCATATTGTTTCACTCTCGGTAACTTCTTGTGTCTTCGTGACCTTATTGCCCTTCTTGTGGTAAAATGATTAATATATATACATATATATATATGGCGTCTGTTAAGGTCAATATTTCTACCTTAACATTTTCTTCCAAATGTAATGAGAATTTTTAACACGATTTGGTAGCAGACGTCTGTTTGTTTGTTTGTTATTTGCTTGTTTTCCCAAGGTCACATAGCCCAGTGGATAGAAGCGTGTGTTGAAGTAATCTCGTGACTTGATCCAAAGAGTTGTGAGTTCAATACCTAGCTACAGAACAAAGACATGGCTGAGTTGCTAAAGGGAAATAATTAAAACGTTATAATAAATTAAAACTAAATATCCAGAAAAGGCATGTTAGGTGGAACTAGAATCAATCTACCCCAACGTATATCACCTGAAGACGGTCGGAGCGTAATGCTTCTATATCAATAATTCTCAAAATGTTTGTTTGTTTGTGTGTGTGTGTGTGTGTGTGTGTGTGTGTGTGTGATCGGATGCGTTTCCACAGTTTTCATCCGATTTCGATGAAGTTTGTTTTGTTTGATAGATAATTCTTCAGTGCCTGTTTTGAGTTGAAATTGTCTTGAAAAAATTACAACCTTGAAAATAAAAATTCGAAAACTGATTTTTTAGACATTGCGCAAAAATCAAAGGTAAAAATTAATGTCTATCAAAAACAGCGTACAATCAATTTAGGGAGTTGAAATCTAACGCAAAAAAATTATTATAAAAAATTTATATTATAAATAAAAATGTATCGTATATTATTATGACGGTACATGGAAGAGTTTCTTTCCTTACAATGATTGAAAACGTAAAAAAACGACCCTTTTCAGGGCCATACCCATTCAAATAGTTAACACCACCATTTGGGTATGTGCCTAAGTTGCACCCCGTTGTTGTGGGCTGACTTTAAACTTAAACTGCTCCAATTGAACGGCAAAAATCCCCAGTAATGAAACGAAGACGGGTTATACTGACAGTATGGTAATAAAGTTGAGGACAGCAGTCCGAACAATGTAAATATTAGGTTGGTGCAAAATTAATGACGTAATAATGTCGTTTTTTGACCTTAAAAAATACGTCAAAAAACGACATTATTACGTCATTATTTTTGCACCAACCTAATAGATTGACAGATATGAATATAATGCGATAGATAGATAGATAGATAGATAGATAGATATCGACGTACATAAACAATAATGTATGGTTAAGAAGATAATCATAAACAATTTTGTTTGAAGTTAGTGTTTTTTTTTCGGAACTTTTTATAACAATTCAAATTTAGTCATATTCTTCTTGTACTCATTTTCTCTTTCTTTCTTTCTTTCTTTCTTTCTTTCTTTCTTTCTTTCTTTCCAATTATTCTTCTCCCAGCAGCTCTTGCTCAATACCTACCTCCCGTTCGTGTCCACACTGTCTCCTTTTTTTATCATTCATATATACCCTCCACTGCACCCATACACGTATAGGTACACACACTAATTATTTCTCCGTCGTTTACTTCCGGTTCGATCTTTGAGTTACGAAAATCACCGCTCATCGAACTGAATTCCATTTATTCTCGTTTGCCATAGGCGAAACAAAAATAGAAAAGACATCAATTCTGAACACTTTCCTAAGAAATCAATGTAAACACCAACGAATTTCCAATCCCATATATATACATTTTTTTTTTCTTTTCTGTTATTTTAATCCAAAGTACTTCTTCAATAATTTCCATTTTGACCTTCCATACGTTGATGACGAATCACAACCAATGAGATTTTTTTTTTATTGATCAGCAATAATTTTTTTCTATACTTAGATTTTGATTAGATTAATTTATCTCTTTTCTTTTCTTTGGCGTGCTGAGTCTGTTTTATTTGCTTCCTTCAATGATTTATTAAGTAATTAAGTCTTTCATTTTTGTCCTCTCTTTTATTTGCTTCCGTATTACGAGATGTTTGATACTATAGTGTTTCTTTCGTTTCCTTTTCAGGTCTCCCACTTGTGCTTCCATCCTGAGCAAGCAGAAGATCGTCAGCAAATTAGTAAAAATCACTAACGCGCTTCTTTCTTTCATTCATTCTTTCTTTATTTATTTATTTATTTATTTATTTCATTCTTTCTTTCTTTCTTTCATTCTTTCTTTCTTTCTTTCTTTCTTTCTTTCTTTCTTTCTTTAGCGCTGGTTCTTATTAGACACTTTTCATCTATTTATTTTATGTTTTATTGTTTGTTTTTTTTTCTTGGAAGTTTTATATTTCAATTAATAGCGTGTGTCACAGATTTATAAAAATATGTACCAATTAAAAGTTAAAAAAGAGAATTCTGTTTTATCTCGCTACATATATATATATATATATATATATATATATATATATATATATATATATATATATATATATTTGATTTAATGATTAAATTAGGCTTTTAAAGATTTTTTTCTACGTTTTAATCTTAGGAAATGAACGTAGATTTTCTTTGATGTATCGTCTCCCTTCAGGATACAGATGATCATGGCTCTCCACAATATCCTGTCATTCTTTAAGCAATGTTTGTTTCTATCTCTCAAAGTCCCTGTTCCGGTTTTCATTTACACAAAATCGTTATGTAGGCTATTCGCTATTTTCCGCTGTTCTTCTGGCTTTCAGTATTATATCCTGTGAGTGTCATATTCACCACTCCCCTTTTCCTCATTATTGGAAATTGGATTGTCTCTTTCTGATTATCAGGATTATCGTCGTATTCGTTCTCATTTTAATTAATACATGCTCATTGTTCACATATTCCATACATGTTATTATCGAAATTCTTCGCTGGGGCTTTCTGTCTGTTGCCTTCAGTGTTGCCTTCCATGTTTCCTGTGTGAGTCAAATTCTCCAAATCGTCTTTCCTCATTATTTTTGCTCATATGCACAGATATAGATCGTTTAATCACCACCTTTCCTCATATTGAAAAGCACTTTAACTGATTGTACTCAATTAGACCCTATAAGACATAAATACGAGGTATTTACTCTGACTCCCCACTAAGACCAGTTGTGACACAAGGTCTTTTTTAAGGTGGGAACCCAAGCTCGTACACCTGAGCTAGGGACAAAATTTGCCCGCAGCTCCCGCAATCGTCGGTTGAGCTGACCTCGGTGCGAGCAACGATCCCTCTCTCTTTTGCAGTGAGAGGGCGCGGCCTCGGGCAGCTGTTCTCCAAAGCTGGGCACCTCTCAGTATAATTTTCCTCCGTTGACAGAGTCGCCCCTGAGTGCACCCTGCTTAAAGACGCAACTGAGAGATGATAAATAGATGTGTTATAAACTACTCGAAAGAGTAATTTACACACTGCAGTGATTTTCCAAGCGTAGCTTGGATGTGGCACAAGGCCAAAAGTAAGGGGCGCCCAGTGTTCTAGCGAGACAAGCTTGCTAACCAATACGAGGTACCCTAAGACAGAAATACTAAAGGGAAAACAACATGAGAAATCTACTTGAAAAGACGGAAACCGCCAACATAATGACCTGCCTTAAAGAAATAGGTTTATACAAAAACATATAACACCCACAAGAGAGCATCTACTAACCATATAGCTATAAAAAAAATTTACTCTGAAAGAATAAAATTATGTACAAAATATCTGCTGACGGCCATGTCAGTTTAAAACACCGGTTGCCGTACGACCACCAAAGTTAAGCAATGTCAATACTGGTCAGTACTTAGATGGGTGACCACTTGGGAAAACCGGCTGCTGTAAACTTGGATGCGCGGATAGTTTGATGGGTAATGGATTGTTAATCGAATAGCCGAGTTCTAATTCCCGTTGGGTTCGTTATATTCAAATACCCTTGGGGAAGGTATGAATCCACACCTTCTCCCCCAGCTAGAGATTAATTAGTAAAACTTGTATCATTAAATCATTTTCTTAAAAAAAAGATTTTTACAATCTAAAAATATCTTGTAGCGGAACTGAAAGGCAGTGGTCAGTGGGTTCTGCTGAACTGACTACAGTTCGCCGTTCGAAGAGGCAACGAGTGGCATGCGTAATATGTAAGCAGAATAGTGGACGCTTACGCAAATGTGGCAACAGTCCCTGGCAAAATGAAATACTGGACGAACGAGGAAAGAAAAGAATGGCCTACCTTGGAAACGTTCACGAATCTTTCTGTCATATAAAGTCCGGCTGCTCGACGGCGAAAAAGAATCAAAATGGCGGCGCCCATCTTTTATAACAGGTGGTCTATGACGACTAACGCGAAATCTCGTTGGCTAGTGATTCGTATGTAAATTATGGTCGGTCCTCGGCTGTATAAAGCGAGCTGTCTTTTGGGAGAGACAGAGGCGTTCTTTTTGGCGAGAAGCGAAGGCTGGGTGTGTGACCCAATTTTGCCGTCTCTACGTGGCCTGTTGGATTGTTACGTCGGACAGTCGTTGAACTGGATTTTAGCTACAAGTGTTGCGGTTGAGAGACAAATCTGTTGCAGACTTATTCCTGCCGGAAGTTGACACTCATTATTTGTTTTCTTTTGCTTGATCTTTTCTTTACCAACACATATCTTCTAGCTTTAAATAACGTACAAAGGATTGATAAGCCGTAAAGAACGAATCATTCAAAAAATATATATGTATGCACTATTTACATCGTTCGTAATGTTGCCCTTTTCTCTATTACCATATTCACGATGTTTTGGCTGTTGTACACCAATGAGTAAAAAACCCGTAGTAACAAGTGAGGTCAATATCTGCACTGGAATAAAAACAGCTGAAAACTGATATGAACATCATCCTGAATCTGTAGTTGAGGGAGAAAATGTTACACTGTGATTTTTCTATGAACACATATCGAACAGTACAAGCAAATCGACCAGAGATCAAATGAAATGCTTGCACACTAATCACAGACTGAAATCTTCGAAGGATTTTGAAAAAAAAAATAGCGAATGTAAAGGCCTAGAGACGGAAATAGAAAACATGTGGCACTTAAAAACCAAAACTGTTCCTGTTGTGGGTTGAGATTTGGGTCTGTTAAAGAAAGGAACTCAAGAACAAATCAGCAAAATCCCTGGTGCATCATCTCTCCAGGAAATCTAAGATATAGTTCTAAGAAACATAGCCCATACCCTGTAAAGATTTTTCCCCATTATTATTATTTTTTTTTTTTTTTTTTTTGTTAATTTGTTTGTCATTTGTCTAATTAATTGGAAATAACAAAAATTCACATCATTCGCTTGTCATTGGTCATTGGTTATGACCCGGCAAGGGAGTATGAAATAAATGCAGCTAAACAATTTTAAATTAATAATAATAATAATAATAATAATAATGATAATAATAATAATAATTTAGTGCTGTTTTGAAGAAAACACCTTTTGTCAGAAATGAGAAAATGGAAACATCACAATTATAAAGAAAATCTCGTTTAAAATCGGCCGTTTCGTGGTTTTACAAAGTTCGCGACCTCAAGCTGCGAAACAAGCCTGGGGTCAAAAAATGTGTTCTTTGTCTGTTCTTCCACATCATCTGAGTGAAAACTGCCAGTGGATGATTCCAAAATATGGGACATCGCAAACAACACCAATTAATAGTCTAAGGTAAGAAATAAAAAATTCAGAGAAATGAACTTTTCCATTATAAGGAAGTCGAATGAGCTTACTCCATCTTTTTTTTAATGTCGTGTCCATTCAGAACAGATGAATTTATCTTCATTCTTTTCTTTATTCAATTGGAATTTCTATACATTCTTGTGAAAGATAATTGAGCTGTTTCATGGTGTATTTTCCATGATTGTGAATCCAGAGTTTTTTTTTTTTTTCCTGGGCTCTGATTGTTTGCCACTCAAGATGAAATAATCCAATCTACAATGCTATTTAACATTTTTGATAATCATTTCACGCCAATCAAGGAAATAAAGCCACTAAGACGCAAGATTTGGAATTACTAAAAATTACCATTATTAAAGAGAGAGAATAATTCAAAGAACAGGGATTTCGAAGACAGAATTTAACGATGGATATTGCATTAAGATATTTGAACATTTTTGTTAATCATTGCCTATTTCATTTTTTTTAAGCTATCATTTGTTTAATTAATTGGAAGCAACAAAAATTAGCCAATAAAAAAAGATCTGGAGACGGAAATAGAAAACATGTGGCTCTTAAAAACTAGAACTGTTCCTGTTGTGGTTTGAGATTTGGATCCTATATAGAAAGGGACTCAAGAACAAATCAACAAAATCCCTGGTTCACCATCTCTCCAGGAAATCCAAGAAATAGTTCGAAGAAACCTCACCCAGATCCTGTGAAAATCTTTGCCCATTTTTTTTTAAATATGTGTTTTTGTTTAATTAATTGAAAACACCTACAATTCACATCATTCGCTTGTCATTGGTCATTGGTTATGATCCGGCTAGGGTTTATGAAACAAATGCATCTAAAGAAGAACTTTTAATAATAATAATAAGAAGAAGAAGAAGAAGAAGAAGAAGGGCATCTGGAGATGCAAATAGAAAAAAATGTAGCACATAAAAATTAAAACTCTTCCTGTTGATGTTGGATTTTGGATCTTTGGGTATGATAAAGAAAGGAACTCAAGAACAGAAGAAAGTTCCTGGGGCACCATCTCCAAGAAGTCAAGAAAATAATTCTGACAAACAACCCCTGTCCTACAAAGAGCATTACCAATTTAAGTATTTTTAAAGTATATTTTGTTTAATTAATTAATTTAATTAATCAAGCAAAAAATCAAATCCATCGCTTGCTCTAGGTTATTATCCTGCATTCTTTTATAAAAAAAAAATGTAGATCAAAAATAATATTTATAATAATAATAACAATAATAAAAATAATAAATTTCCTTAATTTTATAATAGATTTTAGTATTTTATCAGCCTTATTAACAAGAGCGTTTTGAACAGAATTCTGTTGGATTATTAGAAATCGATAATGAAGTTATAAACTGTACCAGTAAGGCTTTATTTTAAGTTCGTCCATGAATCAACAAGTATGTGCTAGGCTCAAATTTCGATAGATATATTTACATATGAAGATATATTGTCTTCCAAACAAAGGCAGAGAAAAGGTCAAAACTGTAAACCGGAGCTTCTTTTCTCCTGTGACTGGTGTGAAAAAAATTGTCTTGTGCAGTTTTGCGGGCCCACTGTGGAAGTGTAATAAATGCGCAATCTCTGCCTAAATCGTCGTTTTGAAAGAGAAGGTATGACATGTGAATGTCAACCATAGGTAGAACTAAATCGACTCTTCTGATTTAGTCATTTTGTAACAATTAAAATGCATTCTTTCTGTTTTTAAATACAGTCATGTACAACTATGATATAGCTGGCAGTGTTTATAAGTAGGGAATTATGAAGAATGATTCTTTATTATCTAATAAATCTTGTTTTTCTATTTATTCTTTATCTCTTGTGACGTAGACGAAGGATTCAATAATTGCGAAAAACTAAGATGTCGCCATCTTGATTAGAAATGCCAACTCATGTAAACCAATTCTGTTATATAAGTGTTTCCTATTTCATCTGATGTAAAGGTTAAGTGGCAGGAAAGTGACTAACTTTCTGAGAATCTAGAGACTTTTGAGTAGCCAAGAGTTTGCATTAAACTGCAGCAATTAACATAGCTTACCTGAATGTTTTCACCTAATTTTTCAGTAGTGATTCTACTTTAATCTGTAATGAGAACACCAATGTGTCTTTATGTTCATTTGCAGAAACAAATGACCTGCCACAGTGGGTCTTCAAGACAAAGGTATAAACAAAAGGCAAACCTTTAAAACCGTGGCTCCTTCCTGCTGCCCGATTTTCTCCCGAAGCTGATGGGAAAAAATAAATATCTTTCTCATATGGCTTCGCCGGTTCACGACGAAACGGCAATAAACGCAGTATTTCTTCTTAAATCTTCGTTTTAGAAACCAAGGGGCATGACATGACCCCGTGAATGTCAATGATAGATAAAATTAAATCGGCTTTTCTGATTTAGCCATTTTTTTTTACTATTAAAATGCATTCTTTCTGTTTTTAAATACGGTCATGTACAACTATGATAAAGCTGGCAGTGTTTATAAGTAGGGAATTATGAAGTATGATTCTTTATTATCTAATAAATCTCTTTTTCCTATTTAGCAATTATCTCTTGTTATATGGACAATAGAGTTAATGATGGCGGACAACCAAGATGCCGCTTTCTTTTGTTAGAAATGACAATCCGTATAAACAAATTTTGTTATAGAATTGTTCCCTATTTCATCTGATGTAGAAGCTAAGTACCTGGAAAATGATGCGGGAATTAGTCACTCATAGTCCCGAGTTAATTAGTGACTAAACTCAAGTAATTAACGTGTTTATTATTTCCTTTGATTTCTATTGTAGACCATTTCCTTCACGGTGCCAACCAGGAACCGAACTTTAAAAATAACAGCATAACATTTTCCATTGCACATTACAAAAAATTCAAACGCATACAAGATATACATATTTATAAACACTTTCGTAGGATGTGAATTGTGCTTTTAAAAACAATGTTTTTGTACTTCATTAGGACAGGGGCTAACAAAACCATTTCAAATGAAATCCGTTTCCTAAATACAAACTTTATTGATGCCTTCAAGTGATTCATTTTTTTTTTTCACTTCATGTTTCTTGTACTTTGATAGTTTTTAAGATCTCCAAAGATATATTATAGTCAATAAGATACTACATTCTGTTTTTGTAGTTTTTTAGGCACTATGTCTGCGCGGTTAACTTTG